CGTTGTTAACTGGACCGATATGTTATTACGTAATGTGAGAAAAAAAATATGTTAGTAACAATTGGCGTTGATAGATTTTTCTGTCCGCTTTCTGAATTTATACAGAAATTGTGTAGAACATTACTGTAAGTGCCACATAAATTAGCCAAATACTCTTAAGTAAAGCGATGCGTGTTTGTTATGAGCATGGTAACTAAAACATGTAGATAATACTATTTTACGATGTCTCGTATAGGGTTAAAATATAAATTTCTGCTAACAGAATCCGAAATCACTGACTAAATAATAAACAAAGTGTTAGTGCATGTTGACGGGTAATCGCTAAATAGTGGTTACCAGTTATTTCATTATTGTATGTAAACAGTATTATGAACGGTGTAATTGGATTTTTCTCAAATTTCATATAACTAATTAAAGTTTGTGAGTCCCTTCGTTTGGTGCCTGAAGTTTGTTTGTTAATACCGAATAACTAGATGAAATTGTAGGAAGGTTAGAAAATGAAGAGCACTGTTTACAGCAAGTAAAACACTTACAGGTACATCCTATCAATTGCTATTTCATTTACTTATGGAACTTGATACTGATAACGAAGTTTAATCTTTTCTTTCACGATTGATTTGTTGTTTTTCAGAATTGCATTGGGCAAGCTATCCATACATTTGGTTATACAACTTATGACTTCTGTCAACTAATTGAAAGGCTCAAATCTTTGTAATAATCAAGTCTATGCAGGTGAACAACTTGGCAAATTTCTTAATATGGAAGTTTATGCGGAGAAACAATTCACACATTGACGATAACTGTGTTTTGTATTGACCACTACCGCGTTTATTCATCTAATACGTTATCTAAATATAATATAAATATAACAACTGTAGTTTTTCGCACTTTAAATCTTTTCAGTATGTGTATAGTCTAGTTAGGTACTAATACTACTTTCATAATAGACGTTGTCCGATAACGGTAAATTTATCGTTTGATTGCCTAGTCTGTAAGATCTTACGTGAAAATCGCATCACTATCTACACTGACCCATCGTATCGCGACAAATAACAATACTTAGTACTTCTGAAGAACACATTTATGCTTGGGATAGAATAATATATTTAATGTGAATATAAATAAGTTAAACATAATGAGCGCGTCTGCAACACTGACTCATGCCATTCGATTGAATGAATATCTCCACGTTCACCACTTACGACCTTCTCCAAGTGTTACATCCTTTTAGTTATTATATGCTTGATTCCGGAGACCATGTGATTAGGAAACAATGCCACTCCAATTATTCATCCGAATATACTGATCGTAAATAGGACTGCAGGAAGAGAAATGGCAGTCTTACCTAATTATTGATTTTTAAGTGATAATTGTCTACTTTTTTCTCCACCACCATGGCGAAGTGTTCACCATATTTTTCAACCATCTGTTGTTTATGAACTTTCTGGCTTCTTTGGATTCGTATATACTCTTCACTCCGTCTGGGTAATGATGTTGTATTATAATGGAAGTTATGCGTGCTATTTAACTTCCATCGGCTGCATGGTCTAAGTATGTGATGAGCTAATTAGTTTATTTCGTAGTTGATTAAGCTTACCTGTAAGAGTTGGTCTTTTTACATATGTCAGTATTATATGACGTCAGGGATATCGACAAGCCATAAATGTTCGACAATTACACTCGCAAGTGCCTGCATCTAGTTCATAATACCACAAAACTGTATTTAAATCGCACGTCCTTTAGCAGTTTACTTTCGCCGTGAATGTTATGTGTACGGGTGGTCTGAAAAGGGATGGAATTATGCATCCATACTTTTTGGAACTCCTTAAACACACCATAGAATTCAATCCAGTTTCCAAAACGCCTGCTCAGTATTATGCGTTGAAACGCCTCACTTAAGTCGACCGAAATGTTTCTGGAACATAAATTACCACAAACATTACTCGTTAATTACTGAAAAAACAGCCATTTCATGCGATAATACTCCAGTAACTGAAGAAAGGACTACAAGCACTTAGGAATTACGGGTTACTCGTCATGTCGTTTTAATTCTTGCAGAAAACAAGGATTCACACAAATTCATAGTATCTTTAACTGATAATTTATAATGAATACGCAGTTTTGCGGACCCCAACGAATTTTAAACAAGGAGAGTGAGGTTCAGTAGGGTAATTGGTATCCCAGGTCAAGTTACGTAGCAACAAAAGAGCCAAATTGTACACTACAAAACACAGTAAGCACAATAAACGCTTTTGGCATTGATTTTGTGAACTTGCTACAGCCAAAAAAGACGCAAATACAAGAAAACCTGATATTCGTGCAACCCAGAGGACAACCAACCGACCCACAACAAATCAAATACGGAATGACCGCCTCGTGTCAGGCCGTTCAAGGTCGCAAAAAGGAAACGGCGGGCAGGTTTGAAAACGCACTGACTTATTTACCTTGCCATAAACTTGGGTTCGACCCTTTTTGGAAGAGGATACTCAAACTTAATCTTATCTTCTTCTTCAAAATACTTAACTATCCTTCACATTCAATCAGGCGATTCAATATGCTGAAACTTCACATTACGACATTCGTAACTGCTTGTCTTTAGCGAAACAAATATATTCCAGATTTTCCCTCTATATGAATCACTTTACCTGTAAATTTTCTAGACTCTGGAATAACCTGCCACAAACTATCCATACGATAAAATCTCTCCCATTATTTGTTCGCTCCAATGCATATTGCTACTCTCAAAATGCATTAAATGCTCTAGCGCCTGTAAGTGTATCTTTCTCCACAAGGGCGATTATCGGAACTTTAAAGGTTTAACCACTTACTTACTGTCACTTTACATTACTCTGTAACTAGCAACTATAACTCGTTTGAATAATATCTAAAATGGACAGTGGTAAACCTGACTGACATATATTGGCAATCATTGTTTTGTTGTTCCGTGCCCTTTGCTTTAATTTTACCTTCTCTAGTTGTGTATATTTATCAATAACTCGTTCTGGCACTGGAAATAACCTTGAGAACAACGTTCATAAACCATCAGGCTATCTTTTAGAGAAAAAATTAAACGTCCCCTGGTGATGCATTGGCTTGCCGTGATACATGTCTTAAATAAATTACTTAACTATTACTGAACCAGCAAACATAAAACAATCTTATATCTCATGTTTATTCTCTACATCAAATGTTGCTATCTATATCAAATTGATCATGCCTGTAAACTGGTGTGAATTCTGTAATTATTATTTTCAGAATTTATTATTATATATATTTCTATTGATATAATCCGAAAATAAAGACGTCAATGTTAACCGATGTGAGCTTATATGAGATATGTAGGAAACGAAGTTCGCGACAGGTATGCATTATCTGGTGTGTCCATCAAAATTACCTTTCTGGGGTAAAATGTGACCGAAGTGCAAGATAGGATGACGATCTCCTTGCGAATGAAAAAGTCGAAAAATACCTAAACAACGTGAAAAGGTGTTATCACTTTCAAATTTCACTGGGTCTTCGTCATCGCGGATTTTTTTATATCAGTGATTGTTAAAGACCAGCTACAACATCATAATCTACTCATCGACACGAGCTAGCCGAGTTTAGTCGATGAAAATACCACTTCGTTTGTTTGTGTAACACCCCTTTGTGACTGCTGGTCATCCCAAGTCACTGTTAAGCTCATAGTCGATCCATACTACCAACGGATACTAGATAAGACAGCAATCAACAACAGTCGAACAAGAACAGAGTGTAGGGCCAGTGAAATATCACTGAGCTCCAGCCAAATCATCCGACAATTGGGTCAACGAATAAGGAACGGTTTTTCGATGAAATCCCGTCTGACCTCTCAAAACCTTAAAGTTATTTAAAGCCTTACTAATTTTGAAGCATGTGAGGGAGATAGATTTTATTGAGTTACTAGTCATGCATATAACTCTTGAGACAGCGCGATTTATGGATTCTTTGCCATTTGCAAAATTATAACTGAAAAGTTCTGCTATGGTTTTAGGGTCATGTATAAAAGTGTTATTATGCAGGATGCATTTTATATCAAAATTTTGAGTTGCTTTAGTGTATTTATTAAAAAGGAGAATTGAATTTTGTACTTTTGATCTAGTATTAAGTGCTAATAGCTTCTCATTAATGGCTTGTAACCTATATTTCTCTTTACATTTGGGTAAAAATTATTGTTATTTGTGCAACTGCCGTGAAGTCGTTCGATTTAAAATAATGTTTCTGTAGGCATTTTAGTTTATTACGATATTTAGCTTATGTATATAATTAGTAAGGTTTACTAATCCTGTACGTTTTAATTAGTGCACAAGAATTTAGACAAGAGTTAGAGATGAAATAGAATATGTTGATGGCATCTGTTAAACCATTACATGAGAAAAATTCTTCCCAGTCTGAGAGCTTGATCAATGAGCGCAAGAGGTCCCAGTCTGCATGCTTATAGTCTCTATATTTGCAGGTTTTTTGAATTGATCGGTTATAAAAGGATAGATAGGGAGAGCACAAGTTACTATCTTATGATCACTGCTTTCAAATTCGTTGCATACTTGTACAGATAGGGGGATGACATCTCCACTAAATATTAGATCAAGTATATTATCACCCCCACTGAGACCAGCAGTTTAGGTTAAGGATTGACGAAAATTCATCATTTCTTGACTGACAACTACCGGTACTCTAGTTAATGCCAGGATGATTGAACTCGCCAGTGATAATCTTAGCACTGATGTTTAGAGTAGATGAATGTATAAATGCATTAATAATAAGATCATTCAAATTATCCGAACTATCAGGAGCTCTGTACATACATCCTAAAAGTAGACTATGATTCACGGTGTTGATTGATATCCAGACCGATTCTGGTGAACTATTCAAGACACTGTCTTCAACTTTGTTAGTTGTTAAGGTATCCAAAGCAAATATAAGACAACCGACTCCTCGCTTGGTTTCTCTGTCACAGCGATAGATTCCATAGTTCTGGACATTTAATTCGGAATCGGATACTGCTGGATAGCACAATGTTTCAGTGATATGTATAAAAGAAGGCTTGGCTAGAAAAGCTAAGGTTCTGAAGGCTGAAATTTTGTTTAGAAGTAAACTTGCATTGATAAGTGATAAGTTTAAAAGGAGAGTATGAAGTGTAAAAAAACCGAGAGCATCCCTATCTATGGTATCAGTTCTAGATATGTCTGGACTATGATTTAATGTGTTTGCCTGATCGTATGGGCTATAGCTTGAGCGAACTGTAGTGCTAATGGAACAAGGGATTTCTGGAGGCCGAAAAAATCATTATTTTGGATCAATTTTCTTAGTGGACAGTCAAGACAAGCACCTGCTAGTTGGGGTTGAGTTGATGGTGCGTAACCTAATATTCCATCTTCCCCACTGTGAAAGTGATGAGAAGAGTTGCATGTTGTAGGTTTAATATTTAAAGCATTTGAGGGTAACCATGAAGCACGTTGGTTCATTACCGTCTGACTAATAGTAGGCCTGCTTACATGATGGTTGTAGTGCCCGTCTCGTGCAACGGTTGAACGAAGTGTGTCCTCATAACCTCCCTTACGATGAGTAGGGTAAAGCATAGTACCGGAAAGTATATCTTTGTTCTGTAGGGCCATTGAAATATTTTTGGAATTTGGTCTAGAACCAGTTGGTTGTAACCCATTAGGTTGATACATTAGGGTTACAACAAGTAACCCATTTACTAACGTACCTATCAACAGAGCGTTGGATATTATTTATGCATGTTTAGTATGTGATTTGGATTTAAATTTACGTTGCCCGTTAGATCCATCTGAGTTTATAAAATGTTTGGAACTATGTTTAAGGTCCACCTTATTCATATTTCGCGGAGACCTATACAGACAAAAAGAAGGCATAGCTATGGATTCACCAGTTTCTCCGATTATTGCGAATTTATTCATGCATTCACTCGAAACTAGTGCAATCGAAAGAAGTGTTGGTCCACCAAAGGTCTGGCTACGGTATGTAGATGACATTTTTGTTATCATTAAACAGGACTATTTGGAAGAATTTTTTGCAAATGTGATTCGGCTCATGCTTAATGTACGAAAGTTACGGTTGTTAAAAATTTAATTAACAGAAATCTTAAGCTTGTTACAGATAAGGAAGACCAACAATATGAATTGAATAGGATTTTATCTACACTTAGGAATAACAATTACTGAAAAGAGTTTTTAAAGAAGATTGTTAGAAAGGAAAGAAAAGCTAAACTACAATGTGTACAGAAAGATTGGAAGTCCACTGTTGTCATACCATACCGTAGTGAAACATCAGAAGAAATCAAACGGATCTTAAACAAGCATGATATAAGAGTGTATTTTAGAACATGTGACACTATAAGATCGTCATTGGTGAAGGTTAAGGATAGGTTACCAAAGGAAGAACAACAAAATATTGTCTATGAGATCAATTGTCATGATTGTAATGCAGCTTATATTGGAGAAACATCCAGACAATTGAAGGTAAGGTTGAAGGAACACAAACAGTGTTTAAAAAATGTTCCCAAAACTTCGGTTGACTTAAGGAAACTTGAGAATAAGTCTGCAATAGCGTTACATGCGTTGGAAACGGGACACATGATTAATTTTGAAGAGGCCAAAATACTTCAGAAAGATTGACAACAGAAGCGCTGTATATATGGGCGAATAAGAACAGCCTAAACAGAAAGGATGGTATTCAGCAAGCTACCATTAGGCAAATATTCATCAACAAGTAATTTGACCTTTTCTTTTATTCAACCTGTCTACTTCACATGAATCGTTATTATGACTGAAATCAATATGAGTTATGAATTCACTTAGTATTGTTTGTTTGGATCTTCCCATCGATGTGTTTAGGACTGCAACTGGTCAGTCTCTAATTGGCATATGTGCATACTGTGCGTATTGCCTCGATATACCTTAATTCACAAGCATGGTAAGCAGAGATGGATAGTGGCTAGCAGTGGAATCCAGGACGCGCGTTTCGTCCTATTTGGGACTCGTCAGCTGGATGTACTTGCATCTCAGAGTTGATGTTCACTCTGGGACTCGAACCCAGTACCCTCGCTTCAAACGCCATCGCGTTATCCACTCGGCCACTGAGTCCTGATAGACACTTGCTTGTGCGATGGGGTGAAGTTTGAATTCACTTAGTGTTGTTTGTTTGGATCTTCCCATCGATGTGTTTAGGACTGCAACTGGTCAGTATTAGTTAAAAGCCTCGTTTCTACTTCAATAGTATCACTAGTACAAATACGATTGATTTTATTGAATAAGCCCTTAATTAAACCACGTTTGTAATGAATTGGGCAGTGACTATGGAAATTAAGGTATTGCCCCGTCCATGTCGACTTTCTATATATAGACCGTTGGATGGAACCATCTTCTCTTCTACTGATCAGTATATCTAGAAAAGGAAGTTGGTTGTTCTTCTCTTCTTCGCACGTAAGAAAAATATGCTTCTGACTTGTATTGAGTTCTTTTAACAAGCGGTTCACGTCTTCACATTTAATGAATAATGGTTATTCATTTAAGTTCATAAACCGCTGGAAGGGTTGCAATACGATTAGACCTATGACGCTTCTGGCACCCAAAAAGCGAATTTATATTACATTACCATTTAGGAGTGACTCTAATAGCCTCATGTTGAGACGGAGACTAAAATTAGCCATAAACAGGACATTCTATGCAGCTCAACTTGTCATCATTGAAAAGGCAAGGTCGATGTTTCACCAAAAACCTATACAGCACATATGCGATTGTGTCACATCCCATTGTGTATACCAATTTACATGTATGTGCGGTAACACGTACATAGGGAGGAGCAATCGTGATTTGCAAATAAGGGTGGCGGAACACATACCTAAATGACTACAGAACCAAATGAATTCGAATGGTCAAATAAGATCAGAGGATAGACAAACATCTTCCTCTATTGCGAAACATTTAGTTGAAACTGGTCATAAGGTTGACATCAAATCAGCATTTGCAGTGTTGTACAAAAGCCTTCAAGGACGTATACTAAGGTTTATTGAAGCCTCGACTATACGGAAACTGAAACCCCTTTATGTTTATTTCCAAGAAACAGTCACTTAATGGAACATCACCCCTTTATGTGTTCAAAAACAATTTGTTCTTACCCTTAACCTACCCTGGTAATGCTTATTTATTATCCAGAGTAGTCATCACATTGTTTTTGTGTACTTTATTTATTTTCTTACCTTAACCTGTCTAGTTGACCTTTTAATTTTCATATAAAAATGTCTTAACAAGTATATGTGTGATCAGATTGTTCGAAATGCTTTGGGCTAACATATCACATAATTCTGATATATTTCAATCGCTGAGACTATTTCAAATATAATTTTTTCACATATAATGAATTCTCTATACTCGGCGCGCAATTATTGTCAAACTATTCGTTCTAACCTTGACGAATATTCGTATAAACATATTTTTTATTATATCCCTATGAATAGAAAAATTGTATTTCTGACGTTTCGTTACTTAATGTAAGCCACTTCTTCAAAGTAAGTAAATAACCAACATTAAATTAACACAAGTAGTACAAAGGAAACAATGAAGAGTATTTTTGGTACAATCAAAATCATAATAGGTCTAAATATGTAAATGTCGAGATATTCTTGGTCAAGGTGAATTTGTATGACTTGTCACTGTATCAATTTGTGTGTCAGAGTTTGGGCATGAAAAATGTAAGCATTTGTAAAATCAATTAGTGGGGTTGAAATTAGGTGTGTGTATGTGTAAATTGTGTGGAAAATAAATAAGGCCAGATGTGGTTTTTTGGATAAGTGGTTCATGTTGGATGAATGTTCAGGCCTTCTTTCCTATTTAGGGCAGAGGGATTTAGCATAATATGAAACGCTTCGGCTACTCGCCTTGGAAAAGACTTTCTGAATTGTTTTGATATTTTAAATATCAAGTTTGTGATTATTGAAAATAGTATGTACTGTTATTGCTGATGTGTTCTATATTGGAGAGTCTTCCCGTGAGATCTCGATTAAAGCCAATGGACGCTTAAGTTACACAAAAAGACCTCTTAATAATCCTTTAGAACTGAAAAATTTACAGATTAAATAATCCCTAGCAAGACCATTCATTTATTTTTCGCTCGGATATGACAGTGTAGCTGTAAATAATTCCCCAAAATCAATAGCTCATTAAGTGTTCGACATTGGATGCTGACCACGTTGTTTAAGTGGACTTGTTTAGCTGAAGGCTTTCGGTCATGCATCCGCACCAGATCACGTTTCAATACTGCGTGGGACACAGCTCCTACGTTTCATTAGCCAGCTCATAGAAAAGGTCCTCGATATATTGGTAACGAATCAAATATATCTTTCCTGCCTCTTCTCGTTTGACTTCTGATTTTCTATCTGACTGGTAACAACCGAATTTAGAAGGTGCTACTGGTATCTAGTTGTAAAACTAGAATATCCGTTGCATCATCAACAGTAAGCATAAATATCCCATATTCTGCGATAAATTGTCTCATATTATCTTTTCATTTTCTTTTACTGTTGAACTGTTTGATCAATCATGCTTTAGTGACTTAACCAAACAGTGGAGCAAAACTATGTATCAGTCACACTGACCTAGTGTTCGGTAAATCATGACTTGAATACCATGCCTCATTTCTTTGTTGCTAGGGGTTTTAAAATAATATATGTATTTAGAATGACTTTTACCAATTTAGGTGAATACATGTTCACAGTTGTTTACATAAGGCTGTTGAGCGCCAAACTAGAGAATTGAGCATACCAAAAATCCCTGTTTGAAGAATATTCTAGATAGAATTTAAAGGAATGCTGTTTGTGTGTTTCCAGAGGTGTTCAGTACGCCCTAAGACAAATGGCTTTTAAGAGTGAGAAATCTTTAAATTCTTGTCCTGTTACTTAATTAGGGTACAATGGATAATAGGAAAGCCTTTTTTCCTTATAAACAAGTCAGAACAACTAAGATGAACAGGATGATTTCAAAAGCCAAGAGTAAACCATATTCACATGGAATACGTGCTGTTCCATTAAATGACTGTTTCTTGGAAATATAGCTGAAAACTGTATTCGATTCATTTGCCAGAAGCCTAAACACAGAACTATGCTAGAATGGATGAAAATGGGCTTTTGATCTTTACTTTTTAGTGGCCCTATATCTGACTCCAATTAAATAATATGCCTATTGTTATTGAAATGTACGTGTCGCCAACCCTCGTATGTTTTTATCGACTTAATTCACGTTAGAGAATAACGGAATGAAACAAGTCGAATACGAGAATGCATTTTCAATACGTATATTCCTTACACTCATTGATCCAGGCAGATAATCTGAGAAACAAAGTAGAGAAATGAAGTAGAAATGAAACGAAGTGACATTCACCATATATATATATATATATATCTGACTATAAATATCGAGTGACGCCTGATTAAATCGATTTGGCTCACTCACCTTCTCTGGTGAATGTCACTTCGTTTCATTTCTCTACTTTGTTTCCAATTCATACAGTTAAATCAAACAAAACATAAAACGTTTGTCCTACCAAAAGTAAATGTATAAATAACTAGATCAATGATTTTACATTGTAGCAAATAATTTCAATGGCATTAACAAATAAGGCTAAATATATAATAATAATTCTATAATTACAAATACAAATGGGGACTGAGTTCATTTCGAAATGGAAACCAATTATTGTCAATTCGGTGATTTTAATTTTAAGAACTTTCTGAAACACATAGCGGTCCTGGGTTCGACTTTTTGTAAATTCATTGATATACACTGCCAAAAAACCCGTATTAAATATAAACAACAACTCAATTCCTGTTTTTCACTAATTTCACTCAGTGATATAAACTGTAAATTAAACAACCGTAGCAATGATGGAAAATATCTGTAGATCAAGGTGATTTCGGAGGTTGTTGTGTTTTCTGAACTGGTTGGTGTACGTGTGAAACTTTCATTATTTTCTAAATATCATCACATATCTTTTATGCTACCGATATCTTTATCACAAAACAATCTAAAGATTTTCATTTACCTTTGAAAAATATCGTTTATTTACCGAATGCATATGACTATAG